AGACTACCACACTTTAACTTGATAAATACCACCCTGCAGTGGCCGTTATTGTCATCATCAGCGTTGTTGGAATGTGCCATCAGGAACCTGCAGTCCATCAGTGTCTAACAGCACAGCTCACTATCATGGCTGTCTTCCACATGGTTACTATTACCATCACGATGATTGTTGACATTATCATCATCATCATCATCATCCCTATCCATGTCTTGTTTACTGCTATCTCCATTGTCAACATTGTTATGGGTAAATTCATTACTGTAATGGCTACAATTAACTTCGTCATTACCAGCAAAGCAGCCATCACCATCTTCACTACTGTCACTCATCACTTTCATCAAGAAGAGTTCAAGATTTCATTACTGGGAACGGTGTCCTTTATTGACTGAAACTCGCAATGAAACTGGAGTCAGACCAGACAACATCACTCCAAACACGATCAGTGTTATTCTCACTGCTGCAAAAATATTCATACCAAGTATTTATAAACTAAATCTGTGTTTTTAGTCTGGTCTTTGACTTTTTAGCATCAAAACGTGTGGGCGCCTGTCAAATTAGGGAACAAGCATATGCTAAAAGTGAAAAATATGAATAAGGTGTTGTGGAAGAAGATATAACGACTTTAATGGTCTCTGTTTGTAACATAGGGGTAGCAGAATGCAGAGAAAAAGAGAAAGAGACAGCTTTTCATCCAGACATGCCTCATTTTCATTTCCTGATTGATTTTTGGGTCCTGCAGTCCATTTCTCTTCAATAATGGTAATGTGATTTCCTCTCTGCTAGAAATAAAACTGTTTCTCAGGCTAATGAGCATCAAGAGATTGTTTCAAACTATTTTTTTAAAAGTATGCAATAATGTTTTTTTTATTAATAGATCACAGAAATGACATGTCACTTAATGTCACCTTTGGGTGGAAAAATGGTGCAAACTAAAACAATAACAGTGGCCTTTATAACACAGAGGGTCTTAAATAGGAGAGATGTCTGGCTTCAGTCCAGACACAAAGAGAGATTGTGTAGTTATCAGTGACAGCTGCTTCATTATGTCCATGTGAGTAACATGTACCATAGGTAAGGTGAGGGTGTGGCCGGTTATTGGTGCTTTTATTAGATTTTGTTTGTTTGAAAGTCATTTTTAACCTAAACACATTTTTTTGGCTCACGTAAACATGCTAAGGTCCCCTGTAGCTACTGCTTAACCTGCCATGACATTAGCAATAAGCCTGACAATGTTTACTGTGACAAAGACACAACACAGACAGCCACAACAGCAAAATAAAGTAATTAAATTCAATTCAAGTTTATTTATAAAGCGCCAAATCACGACAAGAGTCGTCTCAAGGCACTTCACATAATAAACATTCCAATTCAGGTCAGTTCATTAAGCCAATAAGAAATAATGTTTCCTATATAAGGAACCCAGCAAATTGCATCAAGTCACTGACTAGTGTCAGTGACTATACAGCAATCCTCATACTAAGCAAGCATAAAGCGACAGTGGAGAGGAAAACTCCCTTTTAACAGGAAGAAACCTCCAGAGAGTCCTGGCTCAGTATAAGCAGCCATCCTCCACGACTCACTGGGGATCGAGAAGACAGAGCAGACACACACACACACAGACAAAAACACACACACGCACGCACGCACACACACACACACACACACACAAAGACAAGTAACGCCGGGGACACACTGGCCGGGGAAGCGCCGCGAAAATGGGACCGCCTTCATTCGGCGCCCTTGTTAAGCTATTCTATAGACCACATGGGCCGCCGAAGCGCCGCGAATCGCCTCGCGCCGGCGCGCGCCGTGCAGCGATCATTTCGGCGTTGGCTCTATTTTTTTCGCGAGCCGCGGGTGAATCGCGTCAATTCTGGCAGGAAGTCAAACGTAGACATGAGAGGCAGGCCGGTAAAGTTAACAAAATAAGGCATTTCAAAATAAAATTCCGCAATAGTCAAATGTGTTCGTAAACAGACACTGCAGAAAAACCACACAAACACGCACACACATACACACACATCGAACGTGTGTGCGTGTGTGACCACGTGAAGGGGTGTGTGGTTTTGGGTGTCTTTTCACCGGAGCAAACAGGACAGAGAGGCAGAAAGTCTGAGGCAAGCAGTTAAGATGGATGACTTTAAATTAATTATGGAAGTTGAGAAACACAAGGAGCTGTACGACCCCCGAAAAACACGATTATTTACGTACCCATTTTGGAAGAAACTGCTAGGATACAGCTGCAGAACTGGAGCGGGTTCCAAGAGATTCAACTGGCAGAAACAACTCATACCATAGGTTCACACACACACACACACACACACACACACACACACACACTCAAATGTAGAGGAAAAGAGCTGAGAAAAGGCAGAGAGGAAATGGAGGACACCAAGTGTTTAAAAGAAAAACTACAGCTGAGCCGAGGCGCGCCTCGACTGGGGCGCGTCTGATCTGAACTGAGGAGCGGCGAGCAGCGGGCGAATTTCGTGAGCGATTCGCTTCTCGGCGCTTCGCTGCGCTTCCGCGGCCGGTGTGTCCCCGGCGTAATGTGTCTATAGTTATATTGTGATGTCTTAGTAAATATTCTATTTGGTGAATGATAAACTTTATTGTATTTATCCTAGTGGATCTATAATTAAACGGATAAACTAGTAGTAGCACATCCAACGTCAAGGAAAGCAAAAAGTTATTATCAGGAGAGGGAGAATGTTTTAGTGGTTAGCAGCAGTGTGCTAGTCGATGGCCCCCTCCATGAGGCCACCACAGCTCAGCAGAACATCGTTGTAGCTTCTTCTGGGGAGAAAAACACTTAGAGAGAAAATAAAGTTAACAGCTGAAATTGCAGGAAATAATACAGTTAAAGAGCAGATTGTAGAAGAAAGTAGTAGAGTCTGAAAAGTGGTCAGTGTATCCTCCAGCAGTCTAAGCCTATAGCAGCATAACTACAGAGATAACTCTGGATAATCTATCCTATTTAGATGGAGGCATGTTGGAGGCAGGGCAAGGGAGTAGCTTCCTAAAGAGCATGACGGGTGACAAACACACCCCCCACCGACTCACTAGGTGTCTCATCATCTGTGGGCCACTGGGTGGGGTCCTTCATTCAACAGGATGAAAATGAAACATTTTCTTAAATAACACCCGTGTCCTTTATTGTTGATTACATCAAATTTATTATAGATTATTTGGGCACTAAAAAGCTCAAAGCAGATCTGTGGTGTTTTGAGGTTTTTAACATTTCAGGAGCTCCAGTTGAAGTCAAACTGGAGGAGCTGCCTTTGTGCAAAAGGAGGCAGAACTATTCAGCGGTGGCCCAGTGCTCAGGTGTGTTGATCTGATAATTACAGATTTTAGTTGCTTAAGTGTAATTTTAAACAAGCTACTTTTCTAGACTTTAGTTTTATTTAAAGACTTTCAACAAACTAAGAACAATATTTTGCCAGTCCAAGTTCATCCACATTTTAATCATAGACATATTCTTCTATTTTACTTGGAATGGTTCGATGGATTTTTAATTCCCCGTGGAGTCGCTCATCTCTCTCTGGTTCTGAGTCCCTCACTAATAAAACTTCAGTGGGCTAAACGATGTGAGCTGTTACACGAGCTGTTGGAAATAGTTGGGAAGCAAGATTAAAAGCTTCACTTCTGGGCTACAGCGGATGAAAGTGAACGCTTGTTTTGAACATGAGTTTTCAGGACACTGTTAGATCTCCCAGAGTCTTGTCATCTAGCTCATATCAGTCGGCCTTTCTTCCTCTGTCACATAGAACCGGATTTGAAGGTCCCATACTGACAACGTTCTGTGTTCCTGTAAACTCACAGGTATGAAACACAAGCCGTGAAAATTGGTGTTCCTAAACACCGCTTTCACCACAAAAACAACAAACTACCCAACATCGCAGGCGGGGTGGAGTTCAAACACACCAGCTTAATTATCCAAAGTTCACTTTAAGTCTTTACATTTTTTTGTTCATTGTCTTTGTTTTCGCCTAGTGAGACATTAAACGCATGCTCGCGCACACACACACGCACACACAAACACACACACTCAAGAACAGCCATGCTGTCGACACCTTACAATTTAAAAAAGGCAGTTTTTTAGATTTAAAACGCACTATTTCAAGCACCGAAATCACACTTCACCACAAAATTAAACAAACTGAGAACAGACCTGCAATGTCAAGGCATTTAAGCACAAAAATACAATTTTAAGTGAAAAGGTTTCCTTTTCACATTTGATATTTTTATTCAGATAAAGTAATTTTCTGTTTCCCATGACAACAGTACGCCACATGTCCCTTTAGCACGTAAGCACTGTTTTTATCGCCACAAGAGTCTGCTCTGTTTTTTTAACTGGATTACCATTTTATTTATTCTTTCTAACGTAATGCTAATAATAGCTTCAATGTTAAAATCCTGTTTATTCCAAATAAATGATCGCTTCTGGTGCCGACATGTGCTTACATTCTCTACAGTCATGCTGTGCTATAAAAAGGCCTACTTTTTTTTTTCTTTCCAAAATTACATTTTAATGAAGCCATTTTATAAAATTGCCAAACCTGATATGTCATCTTGTATTAGGCGTTTCCTCAGATTAATTGCACGAATTCTGCTTTGGCTTGGTTTGACAGTTCGGATTGCCACTTCTGCTTGTTGACAGTCCATTGCCTGCTGTAAAATCCAACCTCATCACATTAACTTACCGCGTTTCATTAACACCTACAGCATCGAGGGTTTAAAGTAGGCCTGTAAATAAAAACATTTCCAGGCACCACAAACACATCCTGCCTTCCAGTGGGAAACTCACTATTTGACACCTGAAACTAACAAGGTCTTTGCATTAAAAAGCCAGTGTGCCAGAAATGGTTTGAAAGTAAATAAAGTTAAAAGAGGTGGCCAAAGGCTCCTAAATTATTAAAATTTTATAACAGGCTATCACCTTCAATCTGTCATCTGATCAGTCCTTCTGCCTGTTCCACCTCCTCTTGTTCCCTCAGATATTAGGGAGAGTGGAAGCCCCAAGCCGGTAATGGTTTTTATCCACGGGGGATCCTACATGGAAGGAACGGCTAATATGTTTGATGGCAGCATCCTGGCCAGCTACGGGAACGTGATCGTCATAACAGTCAACTACAGGCTGGGCGTTCTAGGTAAGGATCTTCCTGTATCATATCATCTGCTGCCGTTTGGCATCGTGCTGCAAACATGAGCTTTTTGAATCTTTCTCTCTCTTTCGCACCTTCTTATCAGCCAATCGCTTGTTTTGGTGGTGGTCATTTTGAGCTCTGTGTGGTTTAGTTGCCCTGGATAAACAGATGTTTGCTTTTTGAACCCTTCACCTGGATCCATATCTCAGTGCAGGTCTGACTCGGTCTAGATTAAGACGATTTTTGCTGCCGTTGTGGTTTTTTTTCCAGAGATTTGATGTAAGGAGCTTTTTGATGGTGGATTTGCTGTTGTTGGTATGGTTTGCTCAGGTGTTTGAGGTTGAGAATGTGGCAGGACACAATAATGCTGTTTCAGCAACTAGGCTGCGTGTCATCAGACCTGTGATGTGAATGTTTTTGTCACTGCCTAAACACACAAACATAAACATGCTGCAGATTTGTTTTATTTGTTTGTTTTTTTATGTCAAACCAGTCAGATTTTACATTTTGCTTTGACTGATATGATGAAACATGCTGTCATGGCGTTGTTCTGGCGTGTAATTAGTGGAGACTTGAACAGTCTGAGGCCCTGTCCACACGTAGCCGGGGATCTGCCAAAACGTAGATATTTTTCTACGTTTTGGCCTGTCATCCACACGAAAACGGAGTTTTTTCACACGTAAACGGATCTTTTTAAAAACTCCAGCCAAAGTGAAGATCTGTGTTTTCTACGTTTTGGGTGTCTGCGTGTGGACGGACAAAACCGGAGTTTTAAGGTCCACAACGTCACTTTCCGCGACAAAAAAATGCTGACATCACGTGTGCGACCCGTGTTTACACTAGCCGACAGCATGGATGCCCTCAGAGCTGCGCTCGCTTTATCAATTGTCCAAGCGCTTTTTGCTTGTTTGTTTTTGCAAGTGGAATTACTGCTCCTTGCGGAAGACCACAGACGAAGGATGAGGTTAAGAACGGGGGAAGTACTGCCACCTATAGGTCTGGCATGTCCTTAACAACGTATTTATCCGGGTACGTGTGGACAGAGTTTTTTTTTTAAACGAGGTGGTGTGGATGCAAGTTTTTGGAGGGGCGGATATTCGTTTCTAAAAACCCCGGCTACGTGTGGACTAGGCCTGAGTTTGCACTTCAGCCCTGTTTCTTTCTTTGATGCAGCAGTTTTTTATCTGTTATCAACACCGTGTCTGAGCTCCTAATGTTGTTGATCGCTAAGTTTTCTGTCGTGCATCTCATGTCTCTTGTCATCAGCTTAGCTCCTAGTTATTGATGCTACTACCATCCCTACAAGGCAGGTAGAAACATCTGTTCTTGATCAGCTAAATGAAATCATGCTGTTTGGAGAGAAAAACTTCACCTTTTACACAGTTTTGTTCTTAAAGGTTCAGCTTCTTCTGATTGAACAATAGCAAAAGACATATGTTGCAATGTCTGCTTTTCACTCAAATGGCATGCTTATTGACGTCTACGCGCATTATATGTTCTGCTTTGTTTCTTTTTTTAACATAAAGAGTATACTTGTGAAGCATTATTTGATGCTTGTAAAACTGTCACATTTGCCAAAGTATTTGATATTATTTGCAGGTACTCTGAATCATCCCTGTTTATTTGAATCTTGCGTACTTGTAATAAATTTACTGACAGGCAGAAATCAATTATTTTTCTAAAATATAAACAACATCACTCAGTTTACTTTTCTGAAGAATTCTAATGATAAATAAATGGACTGAAAAGCCCATCAGCAAAATTGAAGTCTAAAAATATTCAAATAAAATAAATTTGTAAACAAAGACAAATGAAATGTATTATTATTATTATTATTATTATTATTATTATTATTATTATTATTTTATTAGTGTGTGTTTTTTAAAGACCAGTTTTTGAATTTCATGTCTGTGTGGAGATCTGGGGGCTAATCTATCATGCATGACAAAAACCCATTTATTTTACTCTAACAAACAAACATGCTGTTACTGCATTCAGCGCTTTAGAAAAGGATATTTCAAAACAGATGCCACTAAGATATATCGGGATATTTCAAAAGTGTGATTGAAATTATTTTCTGAAGTCTAGAATATTTGAACAATAGCCCTGCATTTATATTTAGATTTAAGAGAATCCTTGCAAATGTTGCAACTTTATGTTAACCACATTAATATATTAATTTTGTCTCAAAGATATCACAAAACAAAGAAGAATAATTAAACTGTTGTTTTTCCAACAAAAAAAATATTTTACAAGAAACCAGGAGTGCAGATCTTGTCCATCTGTAAAGATGTTTGAGCTCTAAACTGCAGCAAGTTCCAAAATGTTAGACGTTTATATTTTTACTGGTTAACAAGAAAAACGGCTATTTCCTCCTAGATTAGAAGCTGTGTTCCCATTTTCCCTCCAGGTAAGGGACAAGTGTGTACGACATGGTTTCTTTAGTAGCCCCTGCCACCACAGCAGAGCTTTTCAGTCAGGCAGAAAGTGTTTCAGTATATTTGCCAGCCAGCTTTGTTGCTAGAAATATAATTCCTAACAAGCTCCCTGTGGGCTGCGTGTACGCTTTAACAAACAAAAGCAGTTAATAATCACAATAATGTCCCACGAGTGGCATTGGGTCGCGAGTTATTGGCCTGAAGTTTCAAGAGTGAGGGATATCAGGGCGTGTCAGTAAAAGTATACAGGTGTTTATGCAAGCTGTGATCACAACACCAGCTAATGAAAACATGGACGATGCCATTGTCTACATGTGTAATGAACATGTGCTGAATACATGATATTTAGGCCCTGTCCACACGTAGCCGGGGATCTGCCAAAACGTAGATATTTTTCTACGTTTTGGCCTGTCTTCCACACGAAAACGGAGTTTTTTCACACGAAAACGGATCTTTTTAAAAACTCCGGCCAAAGTGAAGATCTGCGTTTTCTCCGTTTTGGGTGTCTGCGTGTGGACGGACAAAACCGGAGTTTTAAGGTCAGCAACGTCACTTTCCGCGACAAACAAATGCTGACATCACGTGTGCGACCTGTGTTTACACTAGCCGACAGCATGGATGCCCTCAGAGCTGCGCTCGCTTTATCAATTGTCCAAGGACTTTTTGCTTGTTTGTTTTTGCAAGAGGAATTACTGCTCCTTGCGGAAGACCACAGACGAAGGACGAGGTTAAGAACGGGGGAAGTACTGCCGCCTACAGGTCTGGCATGTCCTTAACAACGTATTTATCCGGGTACGTGTGGACAGAGTTTTTTTTAAACGAGGTGGAGTGGATGCAAGTTTTTGGAGGGGCGGATATTCGTTTAAAAAACCCCGACTACGTGTGGACTAGGCCTTAGTATCCTAGAGAAAAGCTTAATGCCTTCAGAACTAGTTTACACAAAAGGAAAATTGGGAAAGCGTGTCTCATGTGCAAACAAACAATGGTTCAGGGATATTCTCTGAAGCAATGCCATCTCCACTCAAAAGAATGCCTTTATCACACAACAACAGAGTAAAAATATGACACACAACCTGTGAATTAAAGGTTTAGCAAGCTGTCTGCACAAAGGTTTGAACTTTGTTAATGACCAGAGATGTTCTCTATAGAAGGAGGCTGCTGGCTTCTGGTCCTTAGAAAAGTAGCCTCTACTCACTGTCACTCTGGGATTCATCACTTCACTCAAATCAGAGTTGATGGTCAGTTGTCAACACAAAGGGGGTGTTGATGATTTGACGTTGGAATGTTTGCCAGGTTGTGCAGCTGGTGATGAACAGGAGAACGGGCAGCTCTTTTTGTGATGGAGACATAGGGTTGTGGATATTGTGAAAGAAATAAAAAAAATAAAATATTCTCTTTATTTAAATGTTTCATTTAACAAAAGTGTTGCAATGTCTTGTACATTTACTTGATTCTATTACACATTTTGGTAATGATAGCATGAACAGATGAGTGTCTCATGGGGTCGACACACGGAAAGCGACATCGACATTTTCAATGAGACATGAGCAACAAAGCGATAATCGCGGGTTCTATCAGGAACGTTTAACATGTTTGTATTTTATCTAGTGCAATAGCAAACCTGAATAGAAAATGTTTGAGTAAGTCTTTTGTTGCAGACGAGTAAGAACCATAAATTCCCTCCAGTCTGATGGCCAATCAAAACAACAGAAGGCTCTATTCGCCCTGCAACACGTAGCGCATTGCTGGCTTCTGCCGCTGCCGCAAGTTGCCTCCCGTTTGCCAGGTCATCTAAGCGATAGCGACAAGTTTCGCTGATCACAGTTGTTTGTTTCCTCCCGTGTGTCGAGCCCATAGTAGTGCTGTAGACATGAGTTGAGTGTGGATGTTGAGTGTAGTGCTGCCAGTCACTTCCTCAGTGCCACTCTCTCAGTCCACCAGGCTCCTTTGGGCAAATGTTTCTAATGGGAAATGTGGGTGAAATTCGTCTCCATCCATGGTGTGACTCACCCTTTAATGGCCTGGAAGCGATTGATTCAATATTGGCTTTTTGAAGTGCAAAAAGGAATGTTTTACCCATCATTCTAGTGATGGGAATTCCGGCTCTTTTTAGAGAGCCAGTTCTTTTGGCTCAGCTTACCAAAAAGAGCCGGCTCTTTCAGCTCCCAAGTGGCTCCTCAGATTTTCTGTTGCGTAGAGTACATTTATAACCAACATAATGCTAAACTATATGTAAAATAATTTACTAATGTAAAAAAAAAAGCAAAATATCAGATATTTATCATTTCTATGGATGAACACTGAACACTTTAAGAAATCTCTACTTTCCGACTGCTGGCGCTCATTTTCTCACCGTCTTCGTCACACTCTCCTCCCTCTCGCTCGCCTTTTTCCTCCTCCTCATTCCCTCTCGTCTCCCTCCACCCGCATGTGCTCTGCTGTGTGTCTGAGTCTGATCCTCCCTCTTCCCCACCCCTACTGCTCTGTGTGTGGACAGTCTGGACACGCAGTTACACATGTTGACCAATCACCTGTAGCTTTCACCAAGGCAGGGGGGTGAGGGGG